TTTTTTATTTTTTTATTCTTTTATTTCTATCTCTATTTCTCTGTGCAATAATGTAACAACCTAGTAAATATATTTAAGTAGAAAATGTAAAAGTGTTTATCATCGTAAATCATTTTTTTTTTCGTTTTGTCATCACTGTATACACACTTGTATTTGATTTCTCGTCATATATTATATAAGAACAATTATAATTATTTATTTAACTCTGTTTAAGAAAGTTTCTAAAGTATCTTTCTTTTTTTTTTATATTTGGTTTTGTTTGTAGAAATATTTTGTACGATCGTTTTACTGACGTAATAAAAATGTTAGATAGAAAGAAAAAAGAAAATTATTTAAATAGAAAATGTTAAAACGTCATCGTCATAAATTTCAAACATTTTTCGCTACTCAGTGTATTTAATAATTTGATGTTTGAAAAAAAAATATAATTTAATGGTTATCGTTGTACACGTTTTATCTAGTGGTTCGATAAATTATATAAAACGATATTAAATATGTAAATATAATAATCATAACATTTTTTACTCTATTATAAAATTTTATTTCTAACTTTTCTTTTCCATTTATTTATTCATTTTACGTGACACGATTTAATAACGTAAATTCATATTTTATAAAAGAGTAGATCAATATATTTATTCAAAAAAGAAAATGTATTTGAATAGAAAAAATATAGAAATACGTCAACATGTCAATAAATCGTTATTATCATCGTTTCTCACACAATATACAGAATATATATATATACCTATATCTGGTTGGTCCGGTGTTTGCAGGAATAGGAGTGGTCCTGGTGAGTGTTAGCGCAGTGGCGTGGCGAGTGACCAGCCGAGAAAATTGCGGTAGCTTCTTCGGTTTCACGGGGATCACCGGTCGGATTCCACCAGCGAGGCCGATACACCCATACGCTGCCATGATTTATCCGGAATTCCAATTTAGAACACCACCACCAAGTTACCAGGTAACTTTTTTTTTACTTACGATGTATGGCTAACATAAGAGAACAAAAAGAAGCAGAAAAAAACAACCAAAAAAGATTATTTTAAAGATCTTTGTATAACCTGTTAAAGTAATTTTTCTTCTTCTTGTAAAACTAGACGAAATCGATACAAACGTGTCACGCCTTTTCTTTTATCTCTTTGTGTATGTTTCTTTACCGATGAAGTTGCGTTAGCGCGTAGTCGATCGTGATTTGCATTGCGAAATAGCAAAACCGCGGTGTTCAGTTGGTCTACTAGTAACAGGTCGATCAATAAATTCGTTCGTATTTAGATCATGTGTTGTGCTGTGTATGATTCACTTTTTCGATTAAGTTATATATTCTCGGTTTGATTGCAACTCTCTTTCTATCTCTATCTTTTTCTCTCAATCATTCAGTTTTTCATTGACCATTGTTTAAACATTGGATTTTAAAAAGAACCGTTTACTTTTTTCCCTTTTTTCTGTTTTTAAACGGATATCCATCGATACACGGTAGATGGGTTTTTTATTTTTTTTTATTTTCGAGTATTGTTGACTTTGATAACGAGGATGAACCCGAGTTACGGGATCAAATTACGAAAGAGCTTAATTCATCCAACGTTACTGGTTATTTTGCGATCTACAAAAAAAAATTGAAAAAAAATATTTTTTATCAAGCAAAATACGTTTTATTTACAACGCTTGAAAAAGTTTGTTAAATAATATTTGAACTAACTCATGGACACACCTGTGATGCAGTGCAGTTGGGAGGGGGTTCAACATGCTGTTGCTATTTCATGTCACGATTAAAATTGGGTTCGCGTAATTGTCGAGACCTTTGATCCAATTTGAATACACGTTGTTGTTCTTGTTGTAGTTTCAGTTTAGAAAGTTTCCCATCTTTATAAAACGATTCTAAATTTGTATCTGTTGATTTCAGGCGAGCATGCAGGAGTATAGGTTACGGTTGTTGTTGTTAGACCGGCTGCAACCAACTTCGTCTCCGCCACCCACCTACAGGTCGAATGCAAGTAGTATCGTTGCTGGTGGTGGTGCTGTTGGTGTTGGAATTGGTGGTGGTGGTGGTGGTACTGTACGAGAAAGCAGACCACCGAGTTATTGCGCTAGAGGAAATCCAACACCAAACGTTAATCTGGTGCCCTCGAAAAAGGATGCGAATCTCGTCAGGATCGTACAAACCGAAGCCGATCCCGTAATCCTTAGTGGCGATCAAACGCCACCGGTACCTGCTGTTGAGGTCCTTGCGCATCTTTAGCCCCCTTTTTACAAATTTTTTTTCCTTAATTTTTTTTTTTTTAAATAAAATTACTCGAAAGCGATCTACTTCACCGTTGTTATATTTGTGAAGATTTGTTTCGATTATACTGTTAAATTGTCGGTGGCATTTCATAAATCATTAAGTATACTGAATGAACTAAAATATTATTTGATGTGTGTCAAACCGATTCATTCTGTTTAAGTTGTATGGGTCCATAAACATCCCACGTTTTAACACGATTTTACTTCTGACGTATATCTCTTAGAATATTTATAATAATCGACAAAAATTATATTTATATTAATATAAAAGTATAAAGTGTTTAAAATGTAATTTATAACATTACTATAAGTTTCTTTTATATATCATTTAAATTTCAATTGGTTTGAACGAAAAGTTGTGCGTGGGACGTACACGATCCACGTGATATACACGGAATATGTTAATTGTCGTTTATAAAGATTCGACATTTTGATCGAATAATATAAAAATAACGGTGCACCGATAATAATAGTATAATCATGGCCTAATAAAGCGATTTATTGCGTTAAGCGAATCCGATTCTAAGCCATAATAATGTCGACGTTTATATTGTTAGCTTTGTAAGATTATTTTGTATTTAAATTTTTATTTTCACGTGTAAGAGAAATTTCTTTTTTATATTTTACCCCGACATACAGTATTCGTTCGCGAGTATATAAGAAGAAGGATGCGTCTTCTTCCCCAAAAATATATCTATATATATATATATATATATATATTTTAATTAATAATAATCGTCTTGTGTTGTTCCGCAATGCCGAAATGCATTGAAACGTGTATCGAATCTAACAAGAGTTTATACTCTTGATGTTAATAATAAACACCCTCGATTTTTACTAGCTATAGTTATAATATATTGCGCCATGATGAATTAGGTCGTAAACGTTGACCTATGACGATGATAGAGAATTGTATATTTTGAATACATTATTATACGTATAATTATATACACACTACCGACTAAAAATTTAGGTACACTTACTATAACATTTGCATTATACATTTAAGTACAAAACCATGACGTCTCCATTTTGTTAACCATCATTTATATCAAATTTTATTCAACTTTCTCACTCGATGAATCTTTTAGTTTGAAACAAATATTTTTAAGTTCCTTAAGTATAAAGGAATATAAATTAGGAATATGGAATTAAAACATTTGTCAATAATTATATTGTAAAGGAAATGTTATTCTTCGATATATGTACGAATATATTTTTATTATGTATTAACAATTAAGTTAAATATTCGTATGCGTAACCCTGACTACCCCATAATACGGGGTTCACAGTTTACACGTTGGGAGAATTTTTATATAATTTTGTTATTATTAAAATTGATCAGATTTTTCAAATAAGCTTTGTCAGCAAGAGAGAAACAGTATTGTTTATAAGATATCATATTACAATACTTTAGACACTTTAAGTTTCGTTTATATTTTTTGATTTATTCTTCTACGAATTGAGAGGTGGTGATGTCATAGATTGTTTACCTCTGTTACGGTTGGAAATAAATTGACTAGGTAAGAAACAAAAAATGTTAGTTGACGTTGACCTAAGCTTTTGGTTGGTAGTGTGTATAATACGTAGAAGACTTAGGATTCGTTTTAATCACGTAAGTTTTTCTAACCAGTAAAATTCTATTATTATTCCGACGTTATTTTTTTCCTTCTTTCTTTTTAAATGTCATTTTTAATATGTTTGATAAAAGTATCACGAATACCAGCACATTACGTTTTAATGAATATTACTTTTAATTAAAGTTATATTAAATATATACGCGCCCGGAAAGTATCTTTTATAGGAAAATTGGTTTTAATTAAATCGCATGTTTAATAATATAGAGTAGCATTTCATTAAAAAAAATATATATATATAAAAGGAATATATCGAATTATCTCGTAATAGAATTTTACTTGGGAAACACGTGAACGATATTTGATGTGATGATGATAGTCCAGTGTTGTTTATAGAGATATACAGAGTGTTTCAAAAGTTGCTTATATCGAAAAAAGTCAAACCAAAAAAAAATTCATTTATTTTTATTTATTAATACAATTACTGTACTTTGTTTTTTATTTCAAGATATACATTTTGTTCATTTTATCTGAGTTAATATTTTCAAGATCTTGAGTTAAAAAAAGATTACACTTTCTTATTCTCTTTCATTTTATCGTAAATTCATGGACATACCATACGTGTTGTGTTGCTAAACTAATTTTAAATTACTAATTTAATTAAACTAATTTTAATATTACTTAAATTTTTACAATCGTCAAATTAAGTTAAGCGACTCCATAGGGTGAGGTCATGATCCACTTTTTAGGAAACTGATTTATATAAATCAAATTTTGAACTTTTTATTTCGATAAAATGACTTTTGAAATATCTTGTATATATTTCTGTATATGTATATTATAACATTTGGCAGGATTGAATGTAGTTTTCGTTTGCATTCGAAAGTATGCATTCAAACTACACCCATTTTCTCCCCCATTGATCAAACAAAACGCGTTATTGTGTTATTGTATTATGTATAATATTTATATATTTTACCGATGATATGCGTGAACGTTTTATGAATAATAATTATTATTATATGTCGCTCTCGATATTCGTATAGTCTTTGTATTTTTTTTTCTTTTTTTTGGAAAACTCGAGAGTTTAGATTTAGATGACCGGTGATTAGCGTTAGCAGCGATGATATGTACAATAATTAATTAATTAATTAACGAATTAACGAATTACTTAAACGTATTTTATAGAATTAAATCGATTCGAGAAGACGATTTTTCTCTTCATAGATTTGTTTCATTATACTCGTTGCCTATTTCAAATCGAAACAACAAAATACTCAAACTTTCAATGAACATTTTGAACTCCAGTAGCGAGATTTAAAACAACGATTCTATTATTACTACTACTATTACTACAATTACTACTGTTACTATTACATTTAAAAAATTCATTCAATTTCGTGCGATTCGTATTTGAAATATCGATACGTAGTTTTTACGATAAAAAAAGTTTTACAATTTGTAGATTAATTCTATTTGAAGTATACATTTATGATGTACTAGGAAAACAATTTTACAAAGATTTTTTGTCCAAAATTGACAAATATCAACGTAGCAAAAACACGTTTGTTGTATCGATTGAATTATTCTTTTCAATCGAACGTATACAATTTTAAGAATATTAGAAAGAAAAAATTAGTGATGAACGTAAATGGTAATTTTATATTTATTTAATTTTAAATCTATTTGAACGAGAATTCTTTAAAAACTTAAAAAAGTTGTTGTATCATTCGAATAATAGATTTAATTATTTTATCGTCGATTTTCCTATAATAAAATAAAACAAAAAAAAAGAAAATAAAGAAAATAAATTTATGCGCTAGTCGTAATATTTTATAATTAATAAATGTCGTTTTGCATTCATGTATCGCAAAAAAAAGATGAAAATGAGAAAGGAAAATATTTAAATAAATAATCTATTGCTTTTGAAAGTTAAACGAAAGCAAGATAGGAAAGAAAAGTATAAAATAAAGTAAAGAAATGAGGAAATTAAAAAAAAAAAAAAATGAAATGAAAATATGCTTCGATGTCGCGTGAAAATGCTGAGAAATATAATAATAATAATAATAATAATAATAATAATAATAATTGCATACGAGAACGTTGATGATAGATAGCTTCGATGAGATAGAACAATATGATTATTGGACGAAAAAAAAAAGAAAAAACTAGTACACATACTCTAGTACAATATACATGAATATTTTTGTAATCGTCTCTCTTTGATTGGTTAGAGAGATACGTGGTATATTCAAGAAAATTAATATTGATATTAATAATAATAATAGTAATAATAATAATAATAATAATAATAATAATAATAATAATAATAATAATATTAATAATGGTTAAAAAAAAAGTAAGCAGCTTCGATTTATACTAGCAGAGAAGTATTATTAGCTACCGCGTGACATGTAGTAATTTTTATTATAAAAAAAAAGTAACAAAAAAATGTAATAATAATATTAATAAAAATAATAATAATGATGATGATGATAGTGATGATAAAAACGGGTGGGTTTTTATGCATTCGTTAAAAAGAAAAAAAACTCGCAATGATTCGTGATAAACGAATTTAAAGAAAGTGAATAAGAGAGAGAGAGAGAGAGAGAGAGAGAGAGAGAGAGAGAGAGAGAGATAGAGAAGGATAGTAAAAGAGAGTCATGTAGAAAAAAATCGTACGAGTTCCTTAAATAATACGATATATAGGCCAATTTGTATATCACAAAAGCAACAAAATATATTGAAATATATATTTATCACATCTGACACATTTATTATATTATTAATCATTTGTCTTCTTTTTTTTTATTGTCGTTCAACTTTTTGTACTACGTGTACTTTTAAAAAAATAGAAAAAACGATTTGAAAATTTTACGTACAATTTTATTCTTCGTAGAGTTACGAAAATACAATTTTTTGTTGGCACGATAATAATATCGCAAAAATAATAAACATATAAAAATCTATGTTGAAGGTGTGTGTGTATGTGTGTATACTTATTATAATAGTAACCGTGAAGAACTATAAACTTTGTTTCTTTTGCAGATAAAAAATAATTGCAAGAACGTATTCCATGAGATGATGATGGTAAAATTGCATTTTATGTATTTTTTTTGCACACAACTTCGTATTCATTCGACAACGATGAGAAGGAGGAGAGTGAAATCGTTAAACAATAGAAAACAAAATTTTTTTCTAGGATTTATTTTTTTTTTATTTTTGATTTATAAAAAATAAAAAAATGTATAATCTAGAACAACCCTTCTGGGTTATTATATGCACATTCTGTTTCTGTATTTATTATCAAACTCTTGAAATCTTTACTTTTTACGATTCTTTGTATTACATGCACATTTAAAAAAAGAAAAAAATACAGGAAAGAAAAAATGGTATAATTTTTGACGATATTATTTTTATCTTTTTTTGATCTTGTTTTACAGAAAGAAAGAACACTTTTATTTTATGGTTTTTCGATGAACACGATAAAAAGAAAAATATTCACAGAGAGAGAAAGAGAAATAGAAAGAGAAAGAGTGATCGTGTTCGTATTCATTCATTTATTTTCAAAAGACCTTTCGAGAGGATCCATGAAACGATTCGTTCGTGAGAATTTAATTGGAAAACTTCGTTCTCTCTTCGAGTCATACTTTTCAGACAGACAGACGTACAGAGAGTCAAACAGACAGACAGACGGAAAGCAAAAGAGAAAACGAGAGAGAATGAGAGAGAGAGAGAGAGAGAGATTCGATCAAATAGTTTTGAGTTCAATCCTGTCTACCAACAACTTTACCATGGACGTATAATTGCGGTGATGTTATGCTAACGAAAAGCACAAGATATATAATCCACGATTAAATATATTTTCTACCCGAAGTTACTTGTCGTTTTGTAATGCGTGATTAGTATCCAATCGAATACGTATTTCTTGTTTGTGTAAAAAAAGAATTTTGAGAAAAAATAGGGTGGCAGGAATTTTGAGACGAAGGGCAGACGATATTCATAAATTATAACATTAATCCTTTGCTCGAGGGTTCCGCCTATGGAGACAATAAATAAATAAATAAATAAAAAAGAATTAAAGCAAATTTAATTTAAATTTACAACATATCAACCATGACTTTTCTTTTAATATGCACGTATCATTTATTTTTAATATATGAATATGATTTTTCGTCTATTGAAATTGTTTTGTGAGTTACGGGTAATATATGAAATGAAAAAAAAGAACTTCTAGCGTAAAGGGTTAAAGACGATAAATAAATAAAAAGAAAAAGAACTGAAGCAAATTTAATTTAATTTATAACATATCAACTAACTTTTCTTTTAATATACACGTATCATTTATTTATAATATATGAATATGATTTTTCTTCTATTGAAATTGCTTTGTGGGTTAATATATGAAATGAAAAAAAAGAATTTCGAATGCAAAGGGTTCAATACATACCGATGGATACTTTTCTTTTAATTTAAATTAATTTAAAATTTAATTTCTTAAATATACTTACCAGGAATTCCGTGACAACATTTTTGTGGTAACTTGAGGATGAAAACAGTAAGTGCTATTGCATCTTGAAGAATTGTATTGTATTGTATTTTTTTTTTTAGAAAGAAATAATTTATATTTTATACAATTTCTAATTCGCAAATAGTAAATTAATGCACTGGAGTGCATTCTTTAGGTATAGATAAGAATTAAAAAATTAAAACTATTATACTTATCGTTGCAGCGTCATTTTTGATATTTAAATTTTCTTTTTTTTTCTTTTCTTTGTAGATTTGAATTTACAAATTATACTTATTAATAGGACAACTTATTTATTTACCGATTTATAATATTAATTTATATATATTGTCCACAATTAATTATTAATTTATTATTATTTGAAAATCGTATCTTTTTATTATTTAATTAATTATTATGTGTATTCAATTGTAATAGAAAAAAAAAATCTAAAACTTTATTTTAAAAGATTGATTCATTTAATAGGTTACCATACAGGGTATTGTAACATATATAAATCTGAAATAAATAATATAAGATGTTGGATGTGTTAGGGTAAAATAGTAAGTAAATTATAACACAGAACAAAAAGTAATTATAATTATAATAATTATTTTAATAGAGATTTATTTCAGACAGAAATAAATATGCGCGGCTTGTGTTGATACCGAAATTTTTTATTTAACGGTACATTTCTCTTCTTTTTCTTTTTTTTCTGTTATATTTCTTCTTCTTTTGCATCTCTTATTATAATTTCTTTTTTTTTTTTCAATAATTTCGCTCTCCTATTCATACTCTTTCACATGCACACATCATATACATCATATACACATACAAATTATGCACATACAAGACGCACTTTCTTCACACACACCATTCTCGTATTATCATTTTTTTTAATTTTCATTGACATTATTTTCATTCACGCGGACACATGCTTTTCTTCTTTTTTTTTTATTTTTATCGAATGTTGGTCATACATAAATAACATCCCTG